GGAAAAGAAACGCTCATTGGCAAAGTGAACTGCCACGTTAAGCAACGGCACAGGGCGGAAGACGCCACCGCGTCCTGCCGAGGAAAGGCCCGTACCTAGACGTTGCTTCGGAACAACCAGAACAATCGTTTAGTGAGAAATGTTTTTTTGCATATGACTCATCAACCCTTGAAAACAGGATTTCTTACATAATACAAGTGCTGACACAGCCTTCACTTGAGTGGTGTGACTGCAGCTGTATAATTACAACTTTAGATTTGATGTTATGGACCTTAGGTTACGCCGTTCAGACAAATGCTCCATTGTATGACAGAGATATTTTTTCCTTAGTCATATTGCCTACAGGACAATAAGGACTATATTCACAGCTCACTGCATAGAAGTTTAGGCACATAACAGCCAGCAGCATTACACAAGATGAGATTATACCCTATGGGGGTTAAATGGATTCATAATTGCTACTTTTTCTTCTCCTTTTTTTTTTTCCCCTTTGCTCCTAGTTGATACTTTTTTGGAAGCGCTCTCCAAATAAAAGGAAGAACAATCTCACACTGAGTCTGGATAAATGTTACAGTTGTCTCACAAATGCTGTATTATTTCTAGCCCTTCCAAAATAATGTAATTGTCCTACTGCTGAACTACAGATTTTTCTCAGTATGACACAGAACACTAAAATGTCAGGTCCTGACTCATGGTGTTTCTGTGGAATAAATAAAAAGTACCAATATGCTATTCAAAACTGACAGCACTGACGAAGATGTGACACTGGGAGCCCTAGTCATGTTTTCCTTCCACTTCCATCACGGACTCAGCGGTGCACCCACCAACAAGCCACCCCTGACGGGTCCCATCCTGGAAACACTTACCATGGACCTGAGCGATAGCACTGGGGTTGATGCCACGGGCTGCTCGTTATCCTAGGCTTGCTTTATCGTGGGCGAACCGTATGCGGGTCCGGGGAGGGTGGCTAGCCTCAGGACACGCACTGCACATTCTTTCCACGGGAAACAAAGAGGCGAGTTCAGTGCTATCGGCAGCACCGCGACTCCATGGGCGGCTAGGCCAGATCAACCAAGAAAGATCACGCACGGGCCGTACGCTCCTGGTATTCCTCCACCGGGACAGACGATGTACACCCATTGCTCACCAAGGCTGCATTTCCAGCTGCAGGACTGGACCCAAATATGTAGCTCACCCTGGCCAAGCACCCAGGCACGAATACTGACACGCTGAATCCATCCCGCATTACTCATTTTTAACCCAGTGGCCCCCGTGAATATTTCTGCTGGATTTTACTAGTGACCGGGGGGAAAACAGATCCCACATTCCCAAGACACTCTCTGTGATGGAGGAAAGAAGTCTAATGTTCCCCCTTACATACCTGCCTGGCCATACCTGGCATCATTCTAACGACAAACCGCTCCTCCCCTAGAAGTCTGCATTTCTAAATAACACCCCCTACAAGGCCAACACGAAGCTTTGCAGAGTTTGCCTCTCAAAGCACCAACAACGGTGGATTGCATGAGTGGTCTTTGGTCTACCAGAAGGTACGACAGTTTCTCAGGGAGTTTTCTTGAATGAATTAACAAAATGACTCAAAACTGCACTAATGGTTAACAGCTTTTTTTTTATTAGCAACACTGAGATAAGTTATTGAAGCATTTTAGTATTGTTTTACATTCCATTCAGAAGTGACCTAACTTGTAACTCCATATACATTTAAAGATATAGTTTGACACTTATTCAGAAAGCAACAATTATTAAAACTTACATACCTTCATTACCAGGAAACCTTAATATATTTTCTAATTACTTCCAACAATACTCTATTCCAAAGCACATGATAACCCACTAGAAGTTTACACATTTCACTTCAATCACAGGTTTTAAATTGTGGATGTCAGAGTGCTGTTCATTGAATTTTACTGTCCTTCTCGGTTAATATTGGAAAACCTGGCACAATATATTAAGCTAGAAATATTGCTCAAAGAATATGAAAAAAAAGATAACTACAGTATTTTTTCCTGCTAAAGCATTACAAAATACAGGACCATTAAAAACTCAAATAGAAATGACAATAAATAACCTTAAAAATGTTAAGAGAATCTTCACTCATACTAAAGTCCATTCCCTAAGCTTGCCAAACACATAAATAACAGAACATATTCAGGACCTCTACTTTTGTACTATTATGATGGTTTGTTATATATTGTGGATGTACTGTGTATACATATATTAATGCTTACACTTAAGGTATATATTCTTTTTCTTTGCGGAAACAATTAATAAGCCTCAGGTAATTATTTATCCCTGGTACTACAAGTATCTAGATGGGTGGGAGCAAACCTCAGAAATTCCAGCTATGCAGTAGTGTGCATAACGAGATCATCTCCACATAAAGATATTCTAAGTTCCTTAGATTACAAAGATTAATTTGGTTATTTATTTCTGAAAGCCTGTAACATAAAATTATAATTGCTGTCAAATTAATTGTTTAAAATTGGCCTCATAATAGGTATTAATCGTACACTTAGTTTTGACTTACAAGGATGTCTAAATTGTTCGTGTTTATGAGTAGTTATAGGAAATACTACACCTCCGACACAAGAATATACGTTCCTGAACCAAAACACAAACCGGAGCATTGTCTCACGTTGGAAAGACCTGGGAACATCTCTATGCCTCTGCCTAATCCTAAATTATAATTTAAATTTGACCTGGATATGACAAAACCCAGTAAGAATATATTGTTTGGGAGATGAAACTTAGAGTAAAATCATACAGCTCTAAGCTTACATCATTATTTTGTCTCTGCAAAGAAAAGAAAAGCCTTTCTGTGCTGGGGATTTGCCCTGGTGCGGCTGGCCACTGATGTCTGAAATGAAGGCACATACCAAGGCCTCCTTTTGCAAACACAATCCCCCTTTCAGATCCGGTGCTAGGCGGGACTGAATGCCTCCAGCCCCACTGGGAAGAGAAGGTACTCAGCACTCAGACGTTTCAGGGGTTAATTTCCAGACACATAAATGGAATGGGAATGTTACACCGCAACATGAAAAATGGGAAGAAATAAAAGTTTCCAACAGTAAACAAAACAGTGATACCGAACTTATCACCGGACCGATTTCTGATACAACAGAATGCAATCGAATTAAATTACATGAATATAGCAATGAAATTTAAAGTCAAATAAACATAGGGCCTGATTCTGCCATCCTCAGTCATATAAGTAGTCCCACTCATCGAGCGTGAGGGATGCAAGATTGGGTCCTTAGCTTCTGCTTAGGAAGTCAGTGTTGATTCAGACAGTATCTTTTCTAGCCAAAAATATGCAGCAAAAGGAAAGTAACATAAACAAGGCTAAATGTCAACAGTGTTTGCAGACTTACAGACACCATCCATTTGTTTGTACTGAAATGACTAGCGAACCATTTGGCAAATACAATGCTATTCACAGACCGGCCCTTTTATCCAGCAACACAAACTTCACCACATCCCTGGCATTCCCAGTTAATTAAAAAAAAGGAATCAAGCCCCATGCGTTCGGTTTGCTATTGCCACGCAGATGGCACCGCGACACGCAGACGTGCAGCCGAAGCCCAGGTGTGGGGCTGAGGTGCCGCCCTGCCCAGCGGTCCGGCTCTTACGCTGGAGGCTGGGACCTGCTCACTGCCGTACAGAAACCTCTGCCCAATCACTGTAACGGGGTAAAGTCTGCCGCAATACCTCCATATCACTTCATTGAAGGAAAAGAGCAGTTTGGTTACTCCTTCAAGGGCAGATCAGGACAAAACGCTGGGTTACATAAGTGCATGACAAGACACTTCAAATGGACCGGAGTAGGACAATTTGCTGCAGTAGGATGACCTTCCAGTGCCTCGTAACTGTCCGAGAGCTTGGCTACATCAGGCCTTTTGCATCTGCTTAATACGGATTTTATAATTTAAGAGAGCTGCACTAAGGATTCAAGTGAAGCCACCACAAACAACTGAAAATCCTTTTCCATGTTTTCTATGTTGGTGGTAGTTCTGAAGGGGTTAGCGTTATAATCTTTTTGGTTTTGACACCTGTGGCAATAAGCAATTTACGACGACTAAATTCACTATTTAAACATTGGGGTAGAGCACTATAATTATGTGACAATAAAGCTGTAATAATCTGCCACAATCGATCTTCCCCCTGCCCAGCCCTCTTGTCTGTGCTGCAATTCCGCATTTGGAAGGTATTTCAGAAAGTTACAATGCTGAACATTTTAATAATTCTGTGCCATGCCGAACACTTTCTGCTCCAAAGGAAACTGAAAGTGCTCAGCCCTTGGCAGGATCAGGACGCCAAAGCTGCTACCATACACCCGAAGGGCCCAGCCCTGTTGTCATACAGTGACAGAAGTGATAATGGGGCGGAGCCCATGCAGGAGAAAACAGCACTAATTGCAGAGGAAAGCAAGCATCAATGGAAGCAAATCAGATTTATAGAGACAACATGGAACTGATACTTTTGGACATCATTAAGTGTGGGTTCAATAGCCCTAACTCATTAAGCAACCAGCTAATGCCCAGGACTATCTCTGGCCAAGAGTTCTGTAGCCCACCGGCTCTTCTTCAAAAGCCTAAACTTCCCAAGCAGCAGAAAATGCAAGTAGGGAAATGTTACTGTCTTAGACTCAAAGCAAAATAAAAAATTAAAGGTAAGGAGAGAGAGAAAAGAAAAGGTCTCGTCATAAATAGATGCTGTGCAAATCCCACGTAAATTAATGACTTGGAGCAGAAGGTAGAACACCACGGTGGTACAACTACATGTATACGGGAAGACAAGCAGAGAAAGAGAGGAGCATAAATGGAAAGGAAAGCAGAGCTTCCAGAACTGAAACAGAAAGTAGGTCTAGAACCTCCAAGTGTAACTCCTCGAAGGAGCAAGGGCTGTGAAAGCTGAGGACACAGATGCTCAAGACTGCTACCAAGCCACGGAGCCATCGCCCTGGGCTTCCCCTCCACGCTGGGCTACTGGCTGCCAAGCAGCAAGGAAAGGCATGTCGTCGTCTTAGAAACTGCCTGGTAGCAAAGATTAACAAGATTGGCTCTAGGTATAGTCACTTGAGGCTCCAAAACCAAGTACAGGTCAAGAGTAACTCTAAATACATCAACAGTAATTTTTTTCTTTCTGTTCTTTCCTATTCTTCTGTATACGTAAAGGAGAAATATTACAAAAATTTGTGATTTTTCTCAGCAGCATTTTGACATGGAAATTTCTGTATTATGCAGTAATTATGGTTCTTTCCTAATTGTGTCTTTCATCCCTACAGCCTGAAGCATGATAGGAGCATAAATGTATTACGTGTGCATCATCAGTCTCTCTCACTCTACATCCAAACTGAGGACCGCTTCCCCCATGTGGGGGGACTTTCCCAAAGAGCGATGTGAGTTGGTGGCATCTTCCTCTAGAAATCAAACCCTTCTTGTGCCAAGATTTGTGCTTAAAAACTGACCCGTTATCTTAAGGCAAAAGCTGCCAACTCTAAATGATCCACATGGATCACTGAAAATCCCAGCTTGTTTTGATGCAGCCAGAAATTTAACTCAATTAGCGTGGCCAATCGAAGATGCAATCTCAGCTAACTGAAGCTAAGGTATTTTATTTCAATTTTATTTCCACTGAATCCCGACTGCGGAAGGAGCACCACGCCTTGCTGTCTGGATTGTGCAAGGAGTGTGTCAAGTGTATCTGCGTCCTCTCTTGAGATGTCAACAACCCACACATCACTGGCCGTAAAAAGAAAGGCGAACGCACGGAGAGCCTTCCAAAATACAAAGAAACATGAGAATCGTGCCCTGCAATCAGGTGCTGGGGGTGGGTCTCAAGTTTTCTGATCTCTCAGGCAGTAGAAGAGACAAAGGGAACCATGACTAAGGCTTTGTGCGAGAGGGTAGGAAGGTTAATAAGTGAACAGGGTGCTCCTGATGGCTAATCTGCAAGCGCAGAAACATCAGGTGAGATTCCCCGCACCAGCATGCACAGATGGAGTGTGATTTCACAGTACAAAATGTCACTGAGAAAATGAAAACTCCCTGAAAACACTACTTTCAAGTGGGTGGTGTCCAAGCCAACCAAATGAAAAAGAACTACTGACACGGGGCTTCTTCATACTCATCCACTCTGGCTGTGAGACACTGAGAAACGTGAAATAATATATTTAAATAATCAACCTTAAAACTTGCATTCTGCAAACACTCAACAGAATGTCAGTAAAGAATTTAAAAAAGCTATTTTTGGAGGGGGGAGGGGGGAAGAGGACTCACACTGCATTTTCGATTAAAGAATGGCTTAAAAAGTAGAACAGACAAGCTTCTGGATTTTTGTTGGTGGTTTGGGTTTTGTTTGGGTTTTGTTTTTTTTTTTTTCCTTCATACTTCAAGTCAAATCCATTATCACTGGGCAGAGCTTGTGAAAGGGATATGGTCTTTAAAATCGTATAAACTCGAGCCATCATAAAATGTCTGTTGAATTGATTGGAAGATGAAACAAAAAACTAATGGAAGTAACATAACCTCATTTCAATAATAATGTTAGAAGGATTTTTGTTGTTGTTGTTGTTTTAAAAATCTTATGTCCCTGGGAAGAAGTATAAAGATACTTTGTACAAAGCAACTAATTTCCAATTTTTTTTACTTGTTTGCTTAGAGAGTCATTGCTGGGTTTTGGTTTTTTAATTTTATTTTATTTTTGTACTTCACAAAAAGAAATGAAAAATCCATGTAGGATTTTACCAGCTGCAAATTAAATCAACTATCAACTATTTCCTAAATATCATCAAAGTAACTGCAGATTTTGAGGAATCTGGAAACATATCCAACTATCTGCATTGTTTCTTAGTGCACCGAGGCACAGGAGTTTACAAGTAAGGCCATGCAGATCATTTGGGCTCATGATTTAGTTTAAGAAATTATGATATTTTGAAGCCAAAATGCTCTAAGAATACAAGTGAGATAAACTTTGTGGGGAGAAATCAGGCCTTTTTATCAGACCAACTGATACACTTGGAAAAGCAGAGAGGCCTGAAGAAGGGGCTATGGCTTTAAGCACATACACTATCCTAGTAAACTCAAACAAAGCTCCCACTAACCTTAAGTTAACCAGGGTAACCACTCTTAAGTGTTTCCAGATTTAGGGTTTTGTTTTAAATCGTCAGGCTTTATAACTGTTGATCACATTTTCTTCTCTTTTTTTTTTAATCTTGAATACATTTTATTATGCATGTTCAGCTCTGACAATGAGTTTTCTGATTAGTTTGAAGGTTAAGTGAAATGAGCATTACTGCAGTTTTTTGTGTCCTTTGCTGACTCTGCTTTTTAAAGTGATACTGTTTTTCAGACTATTTATACTCTAAAATCTCTTTCAAACAAGAACTATGCTTACAGAAAAGGAGATAAATTGGGGGGAAAAAAAATTAATCTCAGTTGTCCAAATAGATTTAACTTTAATTTTTATCAAATTTGATGTGTGTCATATGAGGAAGTAAAACTGCAGTTTTGTAAATTAGAGACTAATAAGGGTAAAAGGTAGGTTTGTTTGTTTGGTGTGGTGTTTTTTTTAATTACCTGGAGGCATATTCTTAATTAGGCAAATCACAATTTGTACCACTGCTAGTTATAATAGTGAAAATGGTCAAGGGCAACTACTGTGTGGGTGCCATTGAAACAGACCAGAAAAATATAATTAAAAAAAGGGGGAGGGAAAGAAAAGAAAAGAAAGAAAGGTTCTTCCCCACAGGTAGACACATTCCATCTACTTGGCCTTTGATTTCATTAATATTGTGGTAATTGAACGCACCCTAATTCAAAGAAAATGGAAAAAAAGAAAGAAAAAGAGAGAAAGCAAGGTTTGCTTGGCAAAGCATCCAGTGTTTTTCTTGGGTTCTTACTTATATCAAAATACTGAAAAGTTTGCAAGTTACCATGTAAATTTTTTAAAACTTTTTCCTCCTTCGAGTATGCTAAAGCAGTATCCCCTTCAGATGCCACTAGCACAGATAGTCTATATTGCTGCTACTCTAGTTTAAAAAGCAAGTTCTTTCTAAAATCCTGTATAAGTATATGCATGCAGCACTGCTGATTTCAATGGAATAGACCACAGAGAAGACTAGAATTTGGCCCACAGGGTTTAACATTTAAAAAAATGTATTACTAACAAACATGACTAAGTATATTTAAAGAGCAGCTTCATGATTCTGCACAAGATGTTTTCTGAAATGGTCTAAAAGAAGGTCTAAAACTTACCACACAAGTCAGGTCTCTTGATACATCCACTAGCTGCTGTGCTACTTGCAAGTCCATTAAAGGCTGCTAAGCCATCAGAGCTGTAAGCTCTTAGGACTGACAACATGTTCATCTGCTTCTCCAGGACCTGTGGACCCTGAACTTGGTCGGGTTTCATCACTCCTTGTGCAGTTTCATGGGAGGATAGAAGATTCTGACCGTGCCACTGCTTCTCTGATGCTTGCGGCAGTGGTGATACGAGCCCTTGCGTCGGTTGTGAGGTGACTGCACTTTGTATATTGTCGCCTCCTTCATTGCTTTCTTTGTTTAGGGCAGACAACTGCTTATTCATAATATCTGGTTCTGTGTCAATGTCCTCATCTTCAATGTTTTCTTCCTTGGAAGATTCCATATCCTCAGATGAAGCTATGTCAGAAAGGTCATCAGTAGCACTTTTATTTACAGAGTCAGAGAGCAGAATATTTGGGTCATCTTCGGATTGTGTTTTTATTTCAGATTCATTACTGGTGCAAGAATTTTGTGTTCCCGTGCCAATAACACCAGGATAAACACCAAACTGCTTATAGAAGTCTGTTGTAAAATTGCAAAAAGTGGATTCCATGTGGCTGGGCCAGGCGCTGCTCTTTTGCTCTCCCAGGGACTCTTTATTTTGTCCTTGGGTCATTTTCTCAGAAGCCGAGTCCAGCTGGCTCAGCATGTTTGAAACTACTGCCTCCTTGCTGGACTGCACAGAGGAGGGGAGACAGCTCACTTTATTAACCGAGGCTGAAGCTTCTCTAGATGGGTCTTTGTTGTTCCCTACGACGTTGTCTTTACGTTTAGCCTTGCCCAAGTGGTTGGCCTGGAGGTGCAGAGCCATTAGTTCCATAGAGGAAGTTGTGAAGGGACAAAATAAGCAGCCGTGCCAAGCGATATTGTCTTGCACAGTAACAGATGAACCCGGGAGGGAGGCTGCATCTGGCCTCACGGATAAGTCAAGAGGTTCGTATTGTGACTTCTCTGTCTTTCGCTGTGAGGACTTGCTATTTATCTTTTCCTCGCCACCATCTGAGCCCAGAGCTTTTGCTGAAAGCGGATCTGAGAGAGCTTTATCCTTCATTTCTTTTTCTTTCTTCAAAGAACTTAGGACAAAGCTGTCCATGAAAGCTTGCAAAGACCCTTGAAAGTTCACACCGTTCCCAACCATGTTCTGGTAAGCACGGCCAAGCTCGGAGAAGTGTGTTCCTTTGGGAGATATGTCTGAACCCTTCATATTTTCTGAAGATACTTCAGATGACATGCCAGCCGCTTGTCCTTGCTGATCTCCAGCAGACAGCATTCCTGACGTCCACTGCTGCGAGACCATGCCACTGCGGAAATCAATACCAGGAAGCCCCTTGAAGGCCCCTCTCAATATATCTGGTCTAATAAACACAGAACTTTTACTTGATGTCTCATCTTTGTGTTCTTGACTTGCAGTCTGCCCAGAGAGTGGTCCTGCTCCATTCTGTCGCTCCCGATGGTGCCGTTCCAAGTGGTATTTGAGGGAGGCAGACTGAGTACCGGCATAATCACAATGCGGACACTTGTAAGGCTTCTCACCTACAGGCATGATAAAGAGAAAAACAGAGAGAGAGTTAACTCTACTTTGGTGTACGGATGAGTGAGGGAAAAAAATCAACATTAAATTCTTGAAAATACAAAGACCTTAGAGTTAATAATTAATTTTTTAAAAAGAAATGCCTTTAATTGAAGACTGATTCATAAACCGAACATTTCTAAAAGTGGGTTTCCAGAATGTGGGGCTATTCAGGAATGACATGGTATCCACACACAATTAGCCATCTTTTTCTTAATCTAACATGTAGAAAACTGTTGTAGAATTAAAAGCTATGATTATGAAAATGAAGCATAACAATTTCAACCACAGTAATCATTAAAAGTACAAGTTTAAAAAAAAAGAGAGACAAAGAATGTAACAAATGGATGGCTGCAATATTTTGTGTATACAATTGCTCTAAAATTTGTTTAAATTATACACATGGAAACCATTTTTAAACCTAAAAATTTTATGGCACTGTTACGCAAGACTGAAATGAATGATTTAAGTCTTGCTCTGCAGTAAATCATGGATATAATTAGCAAATGGCATACTGCACAAGTAATTTATCATTATTTGGAGGGCACCATTCCAGAAGGATTCAAAGATCTGCAGACCTACTGCATTGTTTCTAAATAAAGAACTATAAATACAGATTCTATAAAATATTAATATCATTACGCTACATTATGATTGCAGCGTGTAAGAACATATAGTTAAAATAAAAAGTGGTCAATAAAAAAAAAAGAAATCGAGCAATAAAAGAGTACAAAATATATTTAATTTCTGTATTTGAAATTAGCGTTATCTACTGGGTTTTGCAGTCCTTTAAGTTGCTACTAATAGCATTTCTAATGCTCGAGTAGTAAAACGTGTAATTTACCTACCATAAGCACTTTTCTAGGATTAGCTTGAACAGAGTTTCAAAACACATGAGATTATTTTCATGAATTAAAGATATATTTGAGCCCCACACATACAAAGTTGTATTGTTCTTCCTACACTTTAAAAGAGGTAGGAGATATTACACATATAATAAATATTCATATACAATCATAACGACATCTCCAAACGGAATGTGCGTCCAGGTGAATGTACATCTAAATTTTTGCAGAGCACTTGTTAGCAGTGCAGAGTACCTTTTAAAGGCAGAAGTATGGAAATCCTCACTAATAGTGACAGGAGTCTGAAAGACCTGCGAGCTGCAAATATTGGCAATTATTTCTACGAGGGAGCTCAACAGGAAGAAGAAACTGTTGTCTCTACACAGCTTTTTTCCCTAGGTGATCGAAAAGACAAAGGCAAGACTTCTCCAAATGCTATAATGGAAATATTTGTTTTGAAAACTTCCTCTACAGTAAAAAAAGCTATATATAGCATTATGTACCAAACCCGCTGGAAAGTCACCTGTTTTCAAATTACCTCAAAATCTGCTCAAAACAAAACGGAAAGGCTTTCAGACTTTGGTTATTTGTTTTAGCTACAGGCTCAACTGAAAGTCTGGTAAATACTCAGGAAGCTGCTCCTCTCACCAGCTGCAGGAATGTGCTGACGAGAGGCATCACCAGAACACCCGAACGACCACGCAGCACCGCGCACCGCCTGACCATGGCCAGTGCCTGGACACGTCCTGCAGTTCAGATGGGGCTGAAGGAAATTACAAGCAGTGGAGATTCTAAATCCATAATGTAATCCTCAAGCTAAACGGTGAGACATGAGAGCTTCCTATCAACCACATTCATCGACCTTTCTAGAGGAGAAAAGTGCAGCACCTCAAACAAGAGGTGTTCAGCAGAGGAAGAGGTAGTCATTAACGTGGTTCATGTTTTAGGCTTTAGCTTAACACAAGAAATCATAGAATGGTTTGGGTTGGAAGGCACCTCAAAGACCATCCAGTTCCAACCCCCCTGCCATGGGCAGGGACACCTTCCACTAGACCAGGTTGCTCAAAGCCTCAGATTTCAACATTTCAGTGCAACTTCTGCATCTTCTACAACCACCTAAGGTTAAATGCTCTCACTTTTGAGTTTTCACGCCTCTTAATTGAAAAGCTCTTCCTCAGCATCCCCTATGCCATTACGGAAATCTTTAACACAATTACATAGAGCACTTCCTTTTATTCTAATGACAGTTCAGCATGTGTTTGCATTGCACGTCCAGCGACACCATTAGAAAGTGTGTCCCAGTACTGCAGGCGCTATGTCAACCATTGGATAACTACCTCTGCAAGGAGAAGTTTGCAATATAGGCTGCACTGATGCCGGCTGCTCAAAGCAATAAGCACATGTAAAAATGTGTAGAAGTGAGCTAAAATATGCTAATTGTAGGAAACACTAGTAATATTTTGTACTTTCAAAGTACCATCAGTCTAAGGCGCTGGGCACAACATACTCTCATTCTGAATTGCTAAACCTTGAAGTCATTCCATTTTCCGCTCGAAGGCCTCTCCGCTGAGTGAGCTTCCTTTCAGCAGAGGAGATCTGGGCACGGCTCACCACCAACACCATAAGCATTGGCCTGAAAGAAGACACTGACTGAGGCAGTGTGATAAAAAGTTCAAATCTCTCCTAGCCTTGGTAAACTGCCTCTGTGGTGCTCCCACCTCTTGTGTGGCTAGAAATGAGATCTAAGGCTGAAGGTCTGAAATTGGACTGAACACGTAGCAACACACTGTGCCACCTTTACAATACAGGTCTGGCCAAATAACGTTGTCCAAAGGGATGTATGCAAAGCCCCTCTTCTCTTTTAGATCCAAATATTGGCAGTGACTAGTTTACTTCAAAGCCATCTTAACTGCTGCTATTTTGAGGGCAGAGAAGGGAGTCAGTTGGAGTAAATCATCTTCGAATCTTTTAAATTCAGTGTCTCAGTATTTCCTAAATTCGGTAACTGTGCAGCTATTTAGATGCTATTTCATCCACTTAATTGACACCCAACTATGCCCCGTGTAAGTCTCTGTACGAATGACAAAACAGGGTTATAATCTGCTGTAGGAAAAAGTCCAACCTAGCCTCAACCAAACCAGCCAAAAACCAAGGAAGTTTCAATGGACAACCCAAACGACCCCTAATTTCCAGTACTCTGTCAGGAATTGCAATAGTGTATGTCCAAAGAATACTACAAGGGACAAGAGACGTATGGTATGGTCCTTGTTAGAAGACAACCTGTTTGTATCTGGTACTCTTGAGGAAAGGTTTCAGAGAAGTCGTCCGAGTGTAATGACTACTCTGGTAATACTGCCAAGAGCAGTGTCTGGGTGAGTTATTTAACACTTTAATATCAGTTCCCATAAATTAACGGTGCCATGCAGGAGTGAAGGAACATGACTTTTTCAAAATAGTTTTCTGCATTTCATATCCAAGAGTCATTTTTCATTGTTCACAAAGGCAATGACCATCTGATCTTGCTAATTCTCTTGCCCTGTTTGCATCCCTGTAAATCTTCCCACAATGGAGTAGAAAGAGCAAATAGTCCAGTGTGTACAATTAAAAAAAAGGTCTTGCAGAGAATAATTTATCTGGCAACATAATCACAGATCTACCACTCTGGTTTACAAGACACAAGACATCTCACAAGAACTATTTTATATTAGGATACGATAAAACCATAAAAATTCAACGATACTTGTAAAATCTGCACAAAAGTTTGGTAGATAACTGGAAACAGACATGTTCCCCAGTAGAAACAGGTCTATTTGTACAGCAGGTTGTATAAAAAATGCAGATAATCTATGCAAGCCACCACCAGTCCTACTCAGAATGCAACCTGACCATAGTAGTCGTAGGAATTACTTACTATGGGCTGTGCAAGGAGACCACAGCCAGATTATAAATAGATTTAGAATTGTTAAGGCCAGAGGGGACAATTATGATCATCTAGTCTGATCTGCTGTACAACACAGGCCAAAGACCCTCGGATGATAATTCCTGCATCAAATCATCACTACAAGTTAAACCAACACATACTTGCTTTAGTTTAAACATATTGTGTTTCAATCACAGCAGTGAAGAAGAATCCAACAGGTCCCTAGGTAAACTGTTTCACTGCTCAGAATGTGTGCCTCCTTTCTAGCTTGAATTCATCCAGAGCCTGGTTCCTACTACTGAACATTGCTACATTTTGCCCCATTAGATCAAATAGATTTTTTTAATAGAAACCCCATTTCCCTAAGGAAGGTACTTGGACATGGTAAACCAGTCACCTCTTTGCCTTCTCCCACACTTGAGTGGAACAACATTCCAGTTTTTCAATGCCTTATTAAATTATGGGTACCCATTAAAGCTTTGACGAAATTTCAACTTGATATTATTTTGATACAGTCCAAGACCGTGCTTCCATCCACAGCTATAGTAAATGTAATAGCTCATATTCTGTTGTTTCTCTACCATAATCCTCAGCCAGTTCATTGCCTCTCTAGTATTTGTTCCTTTACATTTTGCTGATTTAAAATTCATACTGTTGACAAGAGCCCACTTGACTAAGTGACTAATCAGTGCCTCCCCATGATTTTTAGCATCTTACCATTTTTGTGCCATTGGTAAATTTTATCAACAGTGATTTTATATAGTCTTCCCGATACTGATGAAATAGCAAATAGAGGGAGCTGAAAGCACTGCTGTGGAACTGCCACTTTACGTGCCACATCAACCCTGTATACCGGGCTTTGAGTTTGTTTGTTGCCTCTTTTTTTTTGCGGGGGTGGTAGTGGATCGTCACATCGAACAAGGTACTTTCACAAGCCTTGAGAGAAAGCGAGAAACTTGATAAAACTTACTTTCATAAAATGAAATTGAATTAACTATGTTATAAATTCTTAATTAGTTAACAAATACCAAAACTTATGTCAGGGTAGTCCATTTATAATTTCAAGCTCTTAATATTCCTTCTTTTTAGAAATACTAGAATAGCCAGAGCTTTTTTTACTACTATGAGTGCTCTGGAATTTGCTCCGTGTTCCAAGACTTGGTTTTTTAAAATGAACTTTAATGATTTAGAGAGCTCT